TTTCCACGCCCTCTTACAAACTCTGAAGAAATTTGTCGAGGATCCAGAAGGTCCCGGACGACTTCCATTAACTTCCACATTACCGGATATGAAGACTGATACTGAAAGCTACGTGAAGCTGCAAAAGCTGTACAGAGAATGGAGTGGGGTCGAGAGCGTACGCTTCAACTTTTTGCTAGGCTACCACTAGTCGTTGACATATCATTACTTTACATCGCTTTGTTCTAGGCTCGATTCAAGACCCTTTTGCAACAAACCTATCCTACTCTCGAAATTGACCCGGCAATGGTAGATTCATTCATAAAGAACGTCCATCATATTCGATTACTTCGCGGCAGAAAATACGGAACATGGGAAACTAATGTCGACTCTGTGAAAGAGACATTGTTATACATGGGGAAAGAAGTTGGAACTCATCTCGTATTGAATGCGTTGGAGGAGCTGTTATATAAAGACGAAGGTTCGTTACCCCACTGTTCATCCTCAATACCACAAGCTAACTAGAATCGTTATGTTGGTGTAGAAGTGACATCGGAGAAGGTCATCGAACACGTTAAATCATTCCTCGGTCCAGATGTCGAATTACCAGAAGAAGTTGATGCTGCTGCTGGTGAAGTGTAAGCAGTGTTACGATTCATATCATGTCTGGTCACTCATCCTCTTTGTTATTCTTCTGCACCCTAGTGCTCGAGCCCCAACTGCTGACTTGCCCAACACCGCCGCATTCCTTGGTGGTATGATTGCACAAGAAAGTATCAAAATAATCACGAAACAATACGTACCTGTTAATGGGTATTGTGTTGTTGACCTTATTGATAGCTGGACGGGTAATATTGGTGCACCTTGAACGGTTTCTTCTTTCGTTTAGGAGTCATAGATTTGAAGGAATCGAAGTTGAGAGAAGTTGTAGGCTTTTTTTTGTATATATAGGACATCTGTCGAAATAGCACAATCTTTCTTGATAGACTAAGCTCGGTTGTGCTGATCAGTGACTAGTGACCAGTGACTCCAGTCATGCATATGCATGCATGAAGCACGATGGGTCTGTTGTCCAACCGCTAAATTATTGAAAGCTTGAGGAATTCATGGAGGGGGGCGGGTGGCAGCTGCTCCGACTTCCACTCATACACATCCGGTTGAATCTTAGCTATGCACTCATTCCTTGGCTTCGATAGCATCGCAACACATGGGTTTGAATGAGCTAGCTACTGCATAAATCAATCACATTAAGATCGTCAACTAGCAGAACTAACTATACCACCTCTCAACCACCTTTTATCACCGTATTGACTCCGATTCCATCAGAAGAGAAGCAAACATTGACAAACGTTTCTTGTACCCATAGTTGAACAAAATAGATAATTAACCTCCTAATCCAGCTCTATCCCGTCAAGAATAGCACGAGCGAGAAGTTCCAAGGAGGGTTCATTACGAGCGTGATGATAATAATAGTGGTGATAGTAAGGGGATGCCCGTGAAGCGTATTCGTAGGAACGGACATGGTGTCTCACTGGTTTACCAGAACCCGAAGGAGTGTGGGTGGGTCGACCCATAGGGACGCCACGAGCGAAAATGTCTTGTACATCAAAATATTCACGACGGTGGTGCCCCGTTGGTTTACCAGAATTTGAAGGGGAGTGAGTAGGTCGACCAGTAGATGGCATACCACGGGCGACAACGTCTTCGACATCAAAGTATTCACGAGCGTGGTGCTTAACTGGCTTTCCAGAACTCGAAGGGGAGTGGGTAGGTCGACTGATAGGGACGCCACGAGCAACGAACTCCTCAATGTCCCCACGAGGTTGATGATGATGATGTGTCCTATCAGTAGCACCTTCAACCGAGTGATGATGACGATGGCCGTGGTGGCCGCCAGCAGCTCCCTGAGCATGAGAGCCACTGTGAGTAACTCCAGGAATATTGCGAGATACCAATTCTCCAGAATCTTCCCGAGAAACTATCTCTGAAGGTTGTTCACTGCGCAGGTTGGAAAAAAGGTGATGTGAGAAAAGTCCGCAGAGAAAGATAAAAGAAAAAGTCATACGAGACAGCGGGTGCAGCCAAGGCAGGGGCCACAACAGCAACAACGCCAGCCACAGGAAGGAAAGTGGAGAAACGCATTTTGATATCAAAGAAAAACTATAAATTGGAAATGAGACCCCAACGTCATAGCGATATGTGAAAGGTCAGGTACAGCTCACAGGTAACAGATCGATAACAAAAAATCGTAAAGAGAATTGTCGTTTAGTCACGGACTTGTCGTGAATGAGGAGTGAATGCAAAAATTTATTTTCACCTAAAGGTGATGCAAAGCTACGGGGAAGAAAGTCAGAATCGAAGAATGAGGGAAGAACAGGCAGACGATTACCTGACCAGCAACTTTTGCTTGAGGGAAAAGAGAAAATGAGGATTGAGCAGTAGGCTGAAGAGACCATTGAATGGCAAGCAATGCTTCTTTTATACGATATTTGTGTATCTAAAATTACCTTGCCTCTTGTCAAGAATAGTGCCAAGACCGAGCATTGAATTCGAAACCATTGGAGTGACAGAAGAGAAGATGTCTTAGTTAGCAATGACATTGCATGCCATTGTTGCTGCACTGTTTTGGCATTGCACTTGATGTCCGGAAACGCCTTTGGTCAAGGTACAGGTGACTGGTGGCCCTGGTAAACCAATGACTTATCAACGATTGCCATTGAGGATTGTAAGCAATATTCAATATGAAATTGCTCACCAATCAAACACCATGCTGCATGCTGTATGAATCAGTCGAGGGGGACCAAGTTATAAGTCTCTTGCTCATCGTGACCATCAGACTCGGGATCACCGGGGATTGCCTGAAGCTTACTGTGCGGTTTTAAACCTGGGAGACACCTCATCCGTCGATAGCACGTATCAGACATAGAATTCCCAGCAGATGAGGTATCTCGACACGTACCGTGATTCAGCCTTTGGCAGCATTTGTGGTAAAAGCGATATATCAAAATTCCAAGGTTGAGGTTTTCTTCTCAAATTGATCATTAGTGCGGATTGGAGTTAGAGGCGAACATCTGGACTCAACGATGAAGTGAGATCTGTGATTAGTTTTTAATGCTGAGTGGTACATATTGTACCCGGAGTCGTAGTAACCTGTGACGGTAGTATTGCGAGATAGTGGTGCACGTGAGTCACGCGATGATAAACTTGCCATCACATGCTTGCGCAAAACGAACATTCCCCGTAAGTCGCAAACGTGTATGTAGCTTGTAAGTACACTGTGAGTACTTACAGCACTAGCGGAGAAGATGCCATTATACTGTCAAATACTAGAAGACATAAAGTCAATTGCATATGCTACTTAAGTAAGATACTCTAATAATGTTCGTTGTATCTTCAGTGTCCGGTCATGGTTCCAGTATGCTTCACCTTCGCCTTCAACTCGCTCCATTCCCAGTCATCCCAGTAACACCAGGTAAACCCGGAATCCCCCCTCGTCCCCTTCCACCACTACTTCCACCACTGCCACTGCCACTTCCATCGCCAGGAGTGACATTACCAGAACCTGGTCCTCCACTAACCAAACCGAATCTTCCTAACGCTTCGAAAATACTTTGATGGGGTGCTGGCTCGATTGAGTCTACCGTGTGAAGGTGTATAAGTCCTGAAACTGGTGAAAAGGTGTATGTGCAATTTCTATCCATTCGAGCCAGAAAGATAGTAGAGGAATGAGCCAGGAGATAGATGTAGACGAGGAAGAAACTCAGAAGGAAGGAAAGCTTACATTTCCCATTCAGCTCTGGCGCCACTGACTCGTCCTACGCCAGTTACACCCAATCCCATTACCAGACATTTTTCTCTCGAGTTTCTCTGGGACTTTGTTCTTCCTGCATCTGGGCAATGAAAATTAGGACATTGAGCGTATTTGTATTAAACAATCGATGCATTCTCACCATCGGGAGAGGAAGGAGGACCATGAACTCTAACCCTTTTGAGTCCAACTTTGAGGTCGGAATAAAAAGCGTTCATCGTATGTCGAACGAATATCGAAGAGGCAATATATAGATGAAGGCCTGTATAAGAGACTAGGCATTAAGGACAGAATGTTTATGATTGCAAGTAAGCCAGAATGCTAACCTTCGATTCGAAGAACGTTGGGTAATGGAGAAGGTAAACCTCCCGGAGGTCGATATTCGAGACGTATTCTAGGACTATAAATATTGTCGTCTTCATCATTATCTTTGCTTTCCGACAGTCGAATTGCTTGGAAGCTGCTTGTATGATCATGGTTACTTTTCGCTTTTCCCTTGAGGGTATTCAGGATATTTTTGGCAAAGGCAGTTGGTGAGGAATGTCCATTAGTGGATGAGGTCGCAGATGATGATGGTGAAGAGGACGAAGCGGTGGTATGGTCATTCAATAGAGCATAGTCCAGTGACGAGATTAAGCCTGTGCTGAAGAAATCTGGAAGAGTTTCTTGGAGAATGTATATCGCTCTTCCTGTTCAGTGACATCGAAAAACTATAACGTAGCATCAGAACGTTCACTTTGAACCTACGTGAAAAGCTGCTTACCAGTGCGAATCTCCCATTCCTGGTCAGAGATTTCTCGTCCTCTGTTTTCATTTTCAGGTTCAAACCCACTTCCACCAATCTGCTCTGAGGAGTCCAATTGACTTCGAATCACATTTCCACCTGTATTGATATTCAAATGTGACATTTCTCGGTCTTTCACATGCAATGGCATTCGACGTTCCTGTAGGGTTTCGTTAACGGCAGGAGTGGTATGTATGTTGTAGTATCTCCGACATCTTGAGGTCGAACTTCGACATTGTTTGGTGAGACATAAGAAGGATTGTCTCAAGGGCTGCGGTGCTGATGTGAAAGACATTCAAGGTAAGGGACAATTGGAAGTTGTGAGCAAGGGACTTGGAGAAATTGACAATTGCTTGAAGTTGCGGAAGACGTCAGTTCTCGGCATAGATAGAATGGAAACGTGGTTTCGTTATATGAAAATGATGCTAAGGGCACATGGTGTAGTTGGTTATCACATCTGCTTAGCATGCAGGGGGTGCTGGGTTCAATTCCCAGTGTGTCCATTCGGTCGATATTTTTCGTTTACCTTCTTCTTGAGTAATCTTCAAATTGAGTAGCAGTGGTCAAGTCTGCTTGCCCTATTTTTCGCTATGCGTGCTTGACTTGATTTGCAAAAGATGACTGGGTCGTTTTCCTTTCTCTTCCAGGCTGATCTTCTCCAGACATGGGTGAATGAGATAGGCGCCCTTTCCTAAAGGAAAGTCCGATCCCGGAGACCGCACTTGACCACTGACCACGACTCCAAGTTGTATACCGTACAGCTGCAAGATTTTACACACAGTTCGAAGGATATAACACCTAATACATCGACTTAACTCCGGACCTTTCGGACAATATATCCCCCAATCCGATCATGCTTATTGCTCGAAACTGGTCGTAACGGTCTCAACGGCGTTCAGGTATCGACCTCGAACAGTATATTAAGCTGTTCGTATGTATACCCAAACATAAAAAGCCTCTTGCTTTATCTCGAGACAAGCTCATACAAACGATGTCTTCCAACGCTCAAACCCTCTTTGCTCGTCCACCCGTTCCCAAAACCAAACTTGGTTGGCACCGTAGGTTAGCTCCTAAAGCTGGTGTTCATGTTTCTCCCATTCAGTTGGGTGGTATGAGCATTGGTGACCAGTGGAACAACCTTGGAATGGGTCAAATGAACAAAGAATCCAGTTTCAAACTGTTGGACGCTTTCTTCGATGCCGGTGGGAACTTCATTGATACAGCTTGCAACTAGTGAGTGTTCGCGTTCGTGAGTTATTGCTATACTCACGGTTTTGACTCTGGTAGCCAATATGAAACTTCTGAAAAATTCATCGGTGAATGGATGGAAACCAGAGGTGTCCGAGACCAAATGGTCATTGCCACGAAGGTAACCTTTGCTGCTTGACACATTTCTTCAATTCAGCTGATCGTATGAATGTAATTCGCCAGTATACGACTTGTCTTAAACGTCACGATGATTTCATCAAATTTAAAGACCAATATAACGGTAACTCGGTCAAGAGCATGCACAACTCCGTCGAAGCGTCCTTGAAGAAATTGCGCACGAACTATATCGATATTCTTTATGTCCACTGGTGGGACTGGAACACTACGGTTGAAGAAGTCATGGATGGCTTACACAACCTCGTTGTTCAAGGAAAAGTTCTATATCTCGTAAGACAACCGTTGAAGCCACCGCTGGTTTCTTCAATCCATTCTGAAAAAAATCTTATTGATTTAGGGGATATCTGATACTCCGGCTTGGGTCGTTTCTAAGGCTAACATGTATGCTAGGATGGCTCATAAGACTCCTTTCATTATTTATCAAGGCCCTTGGAATATCATGAAGAGAGATTTCGAAAGGGAGATTCTCCCTATGGTTCGAGACGAAGGTCCGTTACTCCATGTCCTGCAGTTTCTTTGTTTACGAGTCGTCTGTTGACGTCGAATATAGGAATGGCCCTGGCACCTTGGGAAGTTCTCGTCGGAGGAAGACTTCGTTCAGATGCCGAAGAACAAAGGCGTAAGGAGTCCGGAGAGAAAGGTCAGTTCCGAATCAATAAAATATTTTCAGGTGGTGCTGAATCTTCATTTTTCAAAAATAGGTCGAGCAATTCTTGATCCTAAATGGGAGCGAAACGAAGACGAAATTAAGATGTCTCATGCGCTTGAGAAAGTCGCAAACGAAGTCGGAGCTAAGAGTATCACCGCAGGTAAGTTTTATCATCTTCTATCTCAACAATATACCGATATTGAATCTCACTCGATGATTCTACCTCTCGTGTCTTTTCTACAGTCGCAATCGCCTACGTGATGCAGAAGGCTCCATATGTGTTCCCCATTATTGGAGGTCGTAAAGTTGAACAACTCTACCAGAATATTGAAGCCTTAGAAATCTCTCTTACCGATGAGCATATCAAGTTCCTTGAAAGCATCGTTCCCTTCGACCCTGGATTCCCTACCGCTATGTTTGTAAGCCACCCTTTCTTCTGTCGCAATCTATTTTTGCTCTGGGGATGAATAATTACTAAAATATTTTTCTGGAATTTGTTCTAGGGTGACGGTACGGGTTACACTTTCCAATATAAAACTGCTGGGTATTTCGAACATGTTTCCGTTCCTCGACCTATCAAGCCTCTTCCGTATGGAGAAGCAGTTGCTCAGGAAACTGGAAAACCTCAGGTTATTCCCAACAAGGCATGAGTAATACTATTTGGTTTTGAATCTCGAATGCCATTATGATGGTTACTACTACCGTCTCGAAACAACAAACCGTCCTGATCTCTTCTCTCCAATAAACGATTCTTTTTCACGTCTTGTATCTTTTGTTCAGATCGCGACATATATCATGGTTTTTGTGTGACATATACTGATTTCAATAGCCTTGCGTTTGGAACTCCGTGACGAATAGTCCATTCAGTGACAACTTAAGCGTGATTCACGTGCTGCTCAGTAAGTTCGCAACGCTCCTCGGAGTCGTTGAATTTTAAGTTGCCCCTTCCACAGCACCTCGGAAGGTAAGATGGTCGCTCCCTCCAAAAGTTGACCGAGATTTATAGTAAAAATGGTTGATGGTAAATTCTCAGTCTCATACTTGCGACGATTCGCAACTGTTGACAGTGTGTTCACAAGACTCAACGATGGCAATAAAAGACATATTAGTCTATAACCATGCTATGCGTCCATGCCTCCTTCTCCTTTAGTTATCGAATTCGGACTATATTTTCGGAATGAATCGACTGTATACTGAAGATTTAGAGAATCAGGAGTACTCACCTTTCCATGCTTGAATTATAATTGGCATCCAATAATCCGATGGATAACGGATCTTCGATGATTTGTTTTGCAGGAATCCCATCACCGAATGCTCCGAAATGTGTTGTCTCCGTATCAGCTTCGTCCTCATCCTCGAGGTCATTCATAAATGACATGTTGAGAGGGGCCCCTACATTTCCAATAAACTGGACAGAACCAAAACGACTGGTATGTATCTCCGGAAGGGATGCCATCGAAACTTGGTCAATAGTTCTTAAATCGAGAATCATACGTGACAATATGATACCGCGGAACCTACGAATGATCATGTTTTAGTTAAGAACAGATATTGGCGGGGAGGATCGATACTTGAGAAACACACCATATAATGGGTCCAATTATAACCTCAATACTAGCCTAGAATTAAAAAAATATAGATGTCAGTATTCGAAGCTTCTGACAAAATGACGGAGCGACGAACAATAGTACTTTGAATGTTGAAGATGATAGTCTGCAACAAATTCAGGGCGAGGGTCAAACTGGATTAATCGGACTTCGTCAGCGCCCCGGTCAATGGAAAGGTCAGTCCCGACGAGTGATGAACATGATCTTACCATAAGTATGCGGTTCCTGTTTGAGACAGTGTTCGGTCAAGCATTTAATATTCCAATAGCTGACTATACACACCATCTCTGATCAAAAGCGAGACTAGACTTGATTTGATTCCCGCTTGTCTTGCAGCCCTCTTCAACGCTAATGTCTTGGAGAGAGTCCCACACAAAACCAGAAAGCTCAATGCAATACTGAGAGCAGAGGCGGCTACCTGAACTGCAGAACATCCGGGTCGTGTCAAATTAATATGTCGCAAAAGTTGAAAAAGAAGTTCGCACGTCTATTCGGCAAGGAATCAGAATGCAGTTGCATATATTGAGAGTGAAGAATTTCATACCTATTCGATACATTGTCTGACAAAGTTGGAAGCATTATGCATCCTCCGTACGGTGTTTGGAGGGGGTAGATACCTCCGTAGGTTGTCGCAAAATTCAAAGCCTGTTCGTCGAGGTAAGAATTAGCATAGGCTGGTGATGAGTGTTTCAATTTGCGTGTACATACCGCGTTGAAAGCTATGACACTCAGTGCCAACGGAGTAAGAACCAAAAGAGGAAGAAATTGTTGTCCCCAGATTGCCCAAGTCCGTACAACAAAGAAAACTATGGACTCGTCAATACAGAGTGATGAAAGATAGATGGTTAGGAAACATTGGCGTATACTTGCATGAAAATGCTATTTCTGATACCGTGATGGATACCCAAATTGAAAACGACAGACCCAGACAGCTGTAACCAAAATTTCAGGGTCTTTCGTTCAACTGTAGAATGATGACTGACCTCTGCAAAGTGTGAATGAGAATAAGCTCGAATCAATGCCACGGGAAGGCTTACCAGACGTGTCCGAGGAAAAAGTTGTACCGCGGCAAAACCTACAACAGCGAAAAGGTTGAAGTAACGATTGACAACAAAAATTGTCGATGAGAGGTTAAATTTAGTCTTCCAAATATGCTGCACTTCTTGATCAAAGGTAATGAAGTAATCATATATCGCCAAAGCTAGTGTATCGGTCTTTCAGTCAGTTACTGTTACTTGAAATCCTGAGACTAGATGCACATACCAGCCATGGAGACATATGAAGCAGTGCCGAAGAAACTATTGTCGGTTCGGTGTCAATGTCGTCCGAAATGGATGAAGATTGTGCAGTGATACTGTACTTACGCCATCCAGAAATATTCTACCAGTACTGCTGAGTCGTCTGACATGGTTGGGCTTCTGTCGTGGGGGGTAAGTCTGTCTTGAAGAATGACCTCGAATTCGAGCGAGAGTTTACTTTATATCTCGCTCACGAGTCAAATCCTCATAGCATCAAGCACTCATAACGTACCGGCATAAGTGAATAGAATGAACAGCACCGCTTCGGGCCATCTTGGCGAGTATCATTGATTCGCTCCGATCCTCGTGGTGGTTCCGTAGTTGGCTAACATACATTGCTGTTGATGCGGGCAAGATGCTGGGTAGAATTGGATCAGAGAATAAAATGAAATAAACTCTACTTTTAAATTCTCGTTAAAACCCTATTCTCCGTTGTAGCTATCCTGAAGAAAATCCTTTCGCCTGACTGGAACTTCAGTGGTATCGATTTTCCACTCGGTCTATACCGCATGGCACACCAACAATCCTTGATAGAAGTTGATAGCCGAACAGCATTGTAACAT